ATACGGGTTTTAGGAGTCACAACTGACTCAATTACACATAATACCAACCACAACTGTATATTAAATATATCTAAAAAGGTTTATAATGAAATATAAAATAAAGATATAAAGAGAAAACATTAAAAAAGTATTTCACTGTGTGAATCATAAATTATGTATTCCACTGAAAATAATGAGAATCACAAAATATTAATTGTGCTCATGAGAAACCTAGATATAGACAAGAAGTTGTTATCTAAACAAAACAAAGGAGCACTGCATTGTGTAAAATCAGGAAAGGGGTTTGTCAGGTTGTATCCTTTTTCCACATCAATTCAATCTATATGCTCAGAATATATTCATGAAATTGGACAATATGAAGAATAACGTGTGATTGGGATTAGAGGAATACTCATCAACAATCTGCATTATGCAGATGCAGAAAGTGAGGAAAAATTGAAATATCTGCTGCATAAGATAAAGAACTACAGCTTTCAATGTGTGTTACATCTCAACATTAAGAAAACAAAAAAGAGACATCACCAGACAACATCACAACAGATGCAGAAAAGATGGCAGTTGTCAGGAATTTCCATCTTCCTTTGATCCACTAACAACACACAAGTCAACAGTAGTCAAGAAATCAAAAGACTTGTTGCATTGGGGAAATTTGCTGTCAGGGTCCTCTCCAAAGTGCAAAAGAGCAACAATTTCAGTTTGGAGATTAAATTGTACCATTGCTGACCCTCTAGGGCTTTTCAGAGGCAAATAATCACATGGGAGGAAACTTTATTTCTTCCACAGAGAAGCTGGTGGATTGGAATAGTGTGCTCTGGCTTGGCAGCACAACTCCTTCCCATTAAGCCATCAGAGCTCTCTCATTCAAACCACAGGATTTTCATTTGTTTCCTTTGCATCTGAAAGTGGGATAATGACTAAGGAAGACAAAGAAAGAATTGATGTCTTTAAATTGTGGTGTTGGTAAAAAGTACTGAGCATGCCAAAGACTGCCAAAAGTACAAATAAGTCTATCTTGGAGGAAGTTCAAGCAGGTGCTTCTTAGAGGAAAGGATGCTAAAACTTAGCTTCACATACTTTGGGCATAGTATCAGGAGCACCAGCCTAAGAAAGATGGAGAGTCAGTGAAAAGAAGCTCAACAAGAAGGATTGCCAGAGTGACTGTAACCATGGGCTCGAACATATGAGAGATGATAAGGATGGGTCAGGATGGGCAAGGTTCAGATCTGTTGTTCACAGGGTCTCAATGAGTCATAGTTTACTCAACAACGTCTAAAAACAACTTAAGTAGGCTGAGTCCTAATTATAACCTTTTGAGTGATATTTTAGAAAAGACATGGACATACAAGAGAAATATGTAATGTGAAGATCCATCTACAAGCAACAAAGGAACAGCAAGAGTTGCTGGCCAACACCTGAAAACAGGAGAGAAGCATGGACCAGTTGCTTTCTCAAAGTCCCTTGAAGGTATCAACCATGAATTGACCCTTCTCCACACTGGGAGAAAATGCACTTCTGTTCTTTAAAACCACTCATTTCATGGTGTCTTGTTATACTTCCTGAGGACACTATGACCATTAGGCCAGGGATCATCAACAAGCTGAGGCCAGCAGAACAGTTAAGGGTAGGTCTTTGACAACATGATGAGCCACTGAGCTCACCATGGGAGAATCAGGCTGTTATATGAGGTGGATAAGATAGTAAAGCCATTTCTTCACCACACACGTCCTACTGTTGTTGTTAGATGTCACAGATGACTCATAGCAACTCATAAAACACTAGATCTAAATCTTGTCCTAGACTGCCCATATTACTGATATGCTTGATCCCACAGTTACAGTAACTGAGTCAATCCATACTTTTCAGGGTCTTCCTTTCTTTAACTGGCCCTCTTCCTTTCCCGGCATTACATCCTTTTCTAAAGACCTCCTTGTCAACATGCCCAAAGTATATGAGACGAAGTTTCACCATCCTTGCTTCTAGGGAGCACCTTGGTTTCACTTCCTCCAAAACAGACTTGTGTGCTCCTCTGGCAGTCCATGGGATATTCAGTTTTATTCTCCAACATCACAACTCAAAGGCATTGATTCTTCTGTCATCCTTACTCACTGTCCAACTTTTAGATACATGATAAGTAACTAAAAAGACCATGGCTTGGATCTGGTGCCTCTTAGGCTTTAAATTGACATCACTGCTCTTCAGAACTTTGGAAAGGTCCCTAACAGCAGATTTTTTTCCCATTGCAGCACATCTTTTTATTTCTTAACTGCTATTAACCTGTGTGCTAACTGTGGATCCAAGTGAAATAAGATAGTTGATAACTTCATTCTTTTCTCCACCTATCATAATGCTATCTGCTGATCCAGTGTTGAAGATTTATTTTTCCACTTTTAGTGGTGAAGATTTTTGTTTTTCTGATATTGAGATGTAATTCTTATTAAAGGCTGTAGTGTTGCATCATAAGTAGCAAATGCTTCAAGTCTTCTTCACTTTTTTTTTAAAGCAAGGTTTGTCTGTCCTCTGTATAACACAGGTTGTTGATGAGTCTTCCTCTAACCCCGACTGCACAATGGTCTTCATATTGTTTTCTTGAATGATTTTCTCAAGATACAGATTAAGTATATATGGAGAAAGAAGACAATGCTGATGCATGCCTTTCCCAATTTTAAGCCATGCTATGGTCCTTGTTCTGTTGAGACAACAGCTTCTTGGTCAAGGTATGGTTTCTCATTAGCACAATTAAACTTTGTGAGATTACCATTTTCCTGAATGTTAGCCATAATTTATTATGATCCACATAGTCAATTAAAAAACAAGTAAACACCTTTCTGGTATTCTGTTTTCAGTTAAGATCCATCTGACATCAGTAATGATACCCCTATCTCTGAATTCAGCTTGAGTGTATGGCAATTCCCTGTAGAGGTTCTGTTCCAACCATTTCTGAGTAATATTCAGCAAGATTTTATTGTATGTGATATTAATGATATTGTTCAATAATTTCCACATCCTGTGGGGTCATCTTTTCTGGAAATGGGAAGAAAATACAGATATCTCCTGTCAGTAAGTCAGCCAGGTCATTTTCTTGCATATTTATTTCTTGGCACAGACTAGCGAGGATGTCCAAGGCTGCATCCGTTTGTTGAAACATGTTAATCAGTATTCCATCAATTCCTGGGCCTTATTTTTTTGCCAATGCCTTCAGCATAGACTGCACGTCTTCTCTCCTTACTACTGGTTCTTCATCATATGCCTGAAATGTTTCATTGTTGATTAATTTCTTTTTGGTGCAGTGACTGTATTCCTTCTACCCTCTGATGTTTCCTGCATCATTCATCATTTTGTTCACAGAATCTTTTAGTATTGCAACTGAAGGCTTGAATTTGCTCTTCAGTTCTTTCAACTTAACAAATGCTTAGTATGTTCAACCCCTTAGTTTTCCAACCCCAGTTCTTTGTACATTTCATTATAACACTTTTCTTTGTCTTCTTAAGCTGCATGTTGAAATCTTCTGCTTAACTCTCTTACCTCAGTATTTCTTCCCTTTGTTTTGGCCTCTCTGCATTCCAAGCAATTTTCTGAGCTGCTTCTGACATCTATTTAGGTCTTATGACCAAAGAATCCAAAAATTTAGAATTAAGACTCAGAGATCTCAAATTTGAGTCAAAGTGGAAAATCATTTTTGTATAAGTAAAACCTGTTGTCATCAAGATGATTCCAAGTAAGTAAAACTCAAACTCACCATCATTGTGCAGAAACTGACTACTAAGTAGCACCACCCACTGGATGTCCCAGGCTGTGGGCCTCAGCTGGAAGAATTGCTCATTCTTCTCTCTTGGAGACACTGGTGAATTTGAAGGGCAGCAGGCACGTGGAAATTTCATTTAGAACACCATGGTATAAACCAGAGCTCCTTGGAGAATAAAAATCTACTGTTGTGAAGATGATATCTATTCCTTCTCGGGTGTTAGGTGCCACGGAGTTGTCTACAACTCACAGAAGGCCTACAAACAACAGATCTGAATCCTGTTCTATCATGCACCATCCTCATAATTTGTCATGCTCGAACCCAGCATCACAGTCACTATATCAATCCACTTTGTTCCAGGCTTTCCTCTTTTCTCTGACCCTCTAACTTTCTCAGCATGATGTCCTTTTCCAAGCCGTAAGGCATGCTTCTACTTTTTCATCAGAAGTTTATCACAACTTTTGTTTCAATGCCTTCAGTGTTTAGGGTTTATTACCTTTTAAAATATTTTAGATCATGTTTTTGTGAGAAAAACTTTTCCAGTGATTACAAGGGATCATTTAAACTTATAGTATGAACCTCGGGCCCTTTTAAATGTCATGAAGTCTTTAAACCCTCAAAATACAAAATTAACTAAATGATTCTTATTAAATGTGCAGTTTCTAAGAACTTTAAATAATTTTTTTTAATTGCAAAAGCTGTGAGATTTATTAAGGAAATGGGTTGAAGGGTGGCAGGGGAAGGCAAAGGGTATCACACAGTGAAAGTTCAGTTTGAGGGCAGCAATATAAATAAACCTGTAGTTTCCTCAATTGTCCAGTAAGCCTCAACTCATAGCAGTCCCAAGTCAGCACTCCATCTCAGGAAGCTATGCCTCACAACAGATTCACCAGTCTGGCCAGCTGTCCTTCTTATGTTGGCCCCACAGTTACTGATGATGTAGAAGATACTAATCAATGATGAATCATGTGTCTGCAGTTGAGGCAGCTGGAGACCATGCCTCCGAGGGGGCTAGTGGCTAGAAAAGCCATTTTCAAAAGTCTTAACATCAGTCACTTATAACCAGGACCCAGAAAACAAGTCTCTCTTCTTCAGAGTCTGTCCTGACCTGAGTTCCAACAAGACAGGCCAACCTAACAGTTATTCACATGTGCACTGTGTAAGTATGTCCCATTTAAGTATGCACTAATCGCATCAGCAATACTATTACTTCCCCCCCACCCCCCGCAAGAACTTTAAATAATGTAACATGTTTTACCTTTGGTAAATGTCTTGTCTTTTATTGGCTTCTAGAACTCCTTTTGGTTGGCTCTCAGAAATCAAACTATCAACCTATAATAAATAGAGTTTAAATTACTATATTATTAAGTATCATATCACCTTAGGAAATACAAGTTTCATTTTCCCATAATATTTTAGGAGTACTTCTAATTTCTCAAGCCTTTTAAGTTTTATCATGAGGATCTATATACTGTACCTGCCACTTAGCTTTTTCTAAAAAAGAATTACATTTCACTATACATATTTGATCACATACTTATCTTTTCCTCTATTATCCATTTATCCTATTTTTTTTGCATTTAAAAGTAAATTGCAGCCATCAATAAATTTTTCTTTAACTAATACAATGAAATAAATATTAAATGTATATTAACTTTATTTTGGCAAATACATTCACCTGTGTAATCCAGACTTCAAAAAAATATAGAAAAGTACCTCACCCCAGAAAGTTCCCTCATTTTCCTTCTAGTAAATTTCTACCTCATTCATCTAGACAAATCTGTTGATTTTTTCCCTACCATCACTTTTAACTGTTCTTAAACTTTACATAAATGGATTCATTTTTTTGTGAAATCCTCTTACACAGCATGTCTTTGAGATATTTCTATACTGTTGTTTCACTGTTTATTCCTGTTATGAGTTGTATTTGCTGTATGATTTATTTAAAAAATTAGTTTATCCTCATTTCTGCATCACAACTTTTCCAGACAATACATGCAACTGTGCCAAAGCACCCACAAAAGCAGTACATCTTTCTCTTTTCTACAATTATGTGGAAAAGATAGAGTGCATAAAAGAAAAGGTCACTAGCTTGAACTCAACTTTTGGTATTTGGCATCCACACATTTTATGACAGTTCTCCCAGGCATGACCCAGGTGAATGATCACTTGCTCCTAGAGACCGAGCTGAACCCCTGCTGAATTCTTCTGTGGTTGTCCTCTGTGAGGACTGGAAGAATAAGTCAACACTAGCAAGAACCCTTCCAAAGGGTCAAGGTACTACTGAGCCAATCCCTCTCCAGGTTGAAGAATACTTGTAATTATTTTTGTTACATTTTTTTAATAATAATATTTTGTTTCTCCTGAAGACTTCCTTGTTCTACTAATGTCCCATTAAATTTAAAATTAGATACAGAACCATATTAAAAGAAGATCATAACCCAAGTCAATACTCTATCATGCTCTACTTTTACCAGAAGGTAGTACTCTGTTGTTGCACCATTATAATGCTAACACAGTCACTTGAAGAAAACTGTCACACAAATCCCTTGTTATTTTTAAAGAAGAGTCCTAACATGTTTTCTAAAACATGGGCATTAAGCAAATCTTTGCTTGCCCAAAATATAACACTACTTCTTTTTTAACAAAAACAGAACTTGGTAATGGAATTTTTTTTTAAGGCAAAATGGGTGCTCAGGTGGCTTAGTGGTAATGCAAAATGTGCTGCCAACACAAAGGCAGGCTGCTGAATCTCATCAGCTGCTCTGGGCACTCTCCCATTCAATTTGCTGCCTCTGAAAACAAGCTGGAGGGTCAGCCCTAAGTGGTTCCAAAACAGTGGTAATCAACAAGTTAAAATGTGAAACTAGAATCTCAAAAAATAATGATTACAACTTGAACCTTTTAAACTTTTACGGTATTATGCATTTAGTGTTAAAAAATCGAAAATATATGTAGGTATAAAGAGAAACATGCATACGGTTTTCAGAGGCCTGCTATTCCAGAAGTGGGTGGCCAATCCTTCTTCCTAGTCTGTCTTAATCTGAATGTTCAGATTTAGAGGAGTATCTGACAAACAAGCAATTTGTGGGGCAGTTAAAGATAAATCCCTTATTGTGGGGGTAAGCGTTAGTTAAAGTGTTGATCCCACCCTTAGCCCAGTGCCATTACC